TATAGCATATTGGAGGAGGGCGACCAAAAGATTTGGTAAAGGTCTGGGATGGTTTAAGAAAGTTTGGGCCAGGGATGACTTTCTGGCTACAATAACAGAGGAGGGACGGCTCGTGGTGGCCAGGTGGCTTGCTTAAAGTACCAGAGAGCCACTAACGATATGCGACATGATTCCTGCCTCTCAGTTTTACGAACTGTTCAGAGTTACAATTCTTATTAGCGCCTTAGCTAAGGTTATATTCTGAATTAGGACATTTGATTCGCCCTGCCTTTTTGGAATAGCTAGGCTCTAAGCTTCATTTGGTCAATTTGTGGCAGATCCTTTGTTTTTCTGTTCACTTGGGCACCTTCACTGAGCGTTAAAGATTTAGGGAGAATAAAAGTTTCTGGTTTGATTGCCCTCTTTTTTCTGTGCTTCAAGGCTTAATTTTTTTTGGAGAGCGGAGGAACGTTAGAAGGGACGCTGGACCCGGTTTCCAGCAGTAGTGTTTACTGCTTGTGGATTTGTTGGTCGATATTCGAGCTCAACTCGTAAGCGAAACTGGCTAAGGCTGCCAGGATAACTCCGAGTCAAATTGTGAGGTACCCGGCCTCGATCCCTTTTTGTGCAATAAAGTTATATGCTTTCCAAAAAAAAAAAAAAAAAAGGAAAAAACTATTGTATTTTAATTCTTTTTTTTTTTGGAAAATTTTTCGAAATGCCCCTGAATTTTGTGTTTATTTGCGTCGTGCCTTTGTGAAGGCCGACTTACCCTTCTGTGCCCCTCGGGCCTCTGAAACTTTCCGCAGGCCCCTGTCAGCATCGGGCGTAACGTTTCGATACGCCCTTACTGGACCGCTGGTGGCGTTTCGCCGGTCCGTCCTTGAAATGCCCTCATGAGGGGCACACATCTTTCTGTGATGCCCTTGCAGCAGTGGCGGCAAGAATTCGAACTCGAAAATGGTACGTATTTCACGCTCCGCCACGAAAAAATGGTGCAGCAGTCAGTCTTCAAGTTCGCCGCGCCATGGATCGCTGCTCCCTCCTCCTCCACCCATGCTCATCGCCCTCCTCCCTCCTCCTCCATCCATGCTCGTCGCTCTCCTCTCTTCTTCTCCAGCCTCCATCCTCTATCCTCATCCATCGTCGTAGTCCTTGTCCTCCCTCCTCCTCTTCCCTCCTCTTTCCTCGTTCTCCCTCCTCCAACTTTCACCTCGTTACCCCTCCCTCTCCTCCTCCTCCTCGATTGTCGACCTCCTAACCATCACCATGGCCGTCTTCTTGGCGTTATCACCCGTGCACGCGCGCGCGATTGCATGTGTGTGTGTGTGTGTACGTGTGTGTGTGTGTGTGTGTGTGTGTGTGTGTGTGTGTGTGTTTCTATTTCGATTTTGTATTATTGGTTCTACAATGTGGTGCTCGGATTTCCTCCAATTATTGTTTCAACCTATGTTGAATTGGGAGTACGTTTTATCAACTATGGTTGATTCATTTGGTATATTTATATCTGATCTTTGTAAAAAAAAAATTCGAGTTGTATGCCTAAGGGACTGGGATTGAACTGTGGGTTTCACGCTTGGTTGAGACCGACCTAGTCGACCGACGTGCGCTTCGTACCTAGGAGATCAACGCCCTAGGAAACGAACGACGTCCGGCCTCAGATGACGTTTTAACCAAGCGTATTTGTACTACAGCGAAACGAGCAAACGTCCTTGGCTGCCCTACCTCTGCAATTGCATTTAAAAACTTTCGCACGTGGGTCAGTAACTCGGTAGGGATACGCCCCTAAGGGTGGTGACAACCCCTTAGGGAAGGTAAGTTATGTCATGCAGGAACCTATTCTTTCGTAAGGGACCTCATGATGTACGGCTGACGCACCCGGTTAGAGCGGCGAGAGGGCAACGTCACCGTGTCCATCCTATGTCGTTGGTCCCCCGAGTGGCATTGAGTAGAGACTGCTGATGCTCATAGGGGGAGGGGACCGGAGGGGAGGCACAGTGACTGGCCCATCGAAGAAGCTCGGTCCCGATGCTACCGGTTGACCCCTGGCTGGTATCGCCCACTTGCTGTAGCAGGTATCGCACTTGCTAGTGGGTGCAGCTCCCGCATGTTCCCTCATTGGAGTTTTGAACCCGGATGTGGCTACTACGGGGCTCCATGCAATACTATATTGACAATAGAAAAGACATTAAAGGTTGTCCTGTCCATATTCGACAGGTAATTTAAAAAAAAAAAAGTAGTGGGGCACATCCAGCGGCCTAACTCAGTTGGTCATGGGTTCAATCCCCATTGCCCTCATGTACCTTCCTAGGCATGCTTGGCACCCACCACCTAGAGATAGACCACTGGAACCCCCGATCGGCATTAAGCGAGTCTGCTGATGTTGGAGGGGACATGAGGGGAGGCACAGGGATTGGTCCTGTCGACATGGTCCCTGATGCTACCGGTTGTCCCCTACCCGGTATCGCCCACCTGCGGGCCGGGGGCAGCCCCGACATGTTCTCTCATGAACACAGTTCTGCCTACTACGGGGTTCCCTGTATGCCTACAATTAGTAGTGGTAGATAGGTAGTGTAAGGTGAAAGGGGAGGGAGGGGGGGGAGGAGGATGATTGCATTAGGATAACGACGAAGTTGTGCTTAGGATAATAATGAAGTTGTCCTTTGGGACATCCGTTAAAATTGGAACGACACGGAAAATACCAGAATGACCTTTGTGCAAAGTTTATACTTTTTTTTATTTTCTCTTATAATAATGATGAAGTCGCTTATACCTACGAATGACGGTCGAAGAAGAGGCATCCACTCACCCCGCCTCATTCAGTAGTGTGGCCGAAAATGAGATATTCACCACCATCAGCTTCGTGGATAAAAGCCACTTGCTCTGGAGTGAAAAGAATACACCCGCCAAAACGACGAGAAGAAAACGCACCCCCATCATCATTGTATCGGGCTTATAAAAAAACTTATATACATTCATAATTAAAGTGTGTTATGTTCAAGGGGAGGGGGGTGCAATCCAATGTTAGGGCAAGGGCTATCCATCGATCAACGATGATTCATGACCGAACGTACTGATGAATGACCGAATCATTTTTACAATGTCGGAGCTTTTTGAATCTTATGAAGTTCAAAGATATCAATCACCACGATTATGTAAAAAATCGAATCATTTTTACAATGTTAAGAGTTTTTTGAATCTTATGAAGTTCAAAGATGTCAATCACCACGATTATGTAAAAAATGGAAGAGATCGTTGTGGACACGCTTGTACATATTGGCAACTCGAATATTTTGATCCGGGTGTGTTTGTGTGTGTGTATGCGTGTGTGTGTGTGTGTGTGTGTGTGTGTGTGTGTGTGAGCGAGTGAATGTGTTCGTTCGTCTTTGTGTGTGTGTGTGTGTGAGTGTGTGTGTGTCTGCTAGAACAGTCTGACTATGTGTGTCTGAGTGTGAGGAAGAGAGTAATAGCGGAATGATAGTGTCAGCTATAAGAGTCTGACTATGTGGGTTTACTAGAACAGTAAACTCTCTCTCTCTCTCTCTCTCTCTCTCTCTCTCTCTCTCTCTCTCTCTCTCTCTCTCTCTCTCTCTCTCTCTCTGCATGTGAAAAACATTAACAATTTCAATAAGCGTCTTCATGTCAACACAATAACATTAACCCTACTGTAACGTGTAGAGGAATGCGTGAGTGACCATGGTCAGTGACTATGTTAGTGAACTTAGGTGTGTTGAGGCGCGGCCCCTTATAGGTCAGATCACACCGCTTGTGTTTCGATATCATGCCAGCTGGCAATCCCAACTCTTGCGGGTATGCCACGAGGTCCTATCCAAAAATGGTCGGAATGTCTTGTCGCCGTCCGCGAATCCTGGCTGACGTGTAGCTGCGCGCCGAAGTGGGCTTCATTCCTGCTGAGCATGCGGCCTTCTTGTTTCTCTTCCAACCTGCAACCTTATCTTTCTTTGAACCTGCAACCTTATCTGGTTCGGAGGGTGATCGAGCGGAAACACCAGCGTGCTGCGGTAAAGGACCACGTGGGAGCGGGTATTAGTGGAGCTGGCGACGATGCAGTACTGTGGGCAGCGGACAGCCTTCTAGAGACAAGGGAGGGTGCGTCGCTGTCGGCGCCGCACAGATGGCGCGACTTGTGCAGCTCAGCATGGTTTGGAAGGAGGGGGTTGTTGTCGGCATCCTCATTGGGGAAGCGGGACCCGGACAGCTGATGAGTGGAAGGGTGTGTGGGTGCGAGAGGGAGGTTTACAAATGGGGACGGAAGTGCGGAGGAGGAGGAGGAAGGAGGAGGAGGAAATAGGAAGGAGGTGAAGAGGAAGCGAGGTGGAAAAAGGTGGTGGCTCGAAGATGGAAAGAAGAGGGAAGATGGGGAGGAGGGAGAGAAGGAGCAAAGAGGGAGGAGGAGGGAGCTTAAGGACAGAGGGAACGTCGGCAGCACAGAAGGAGGTGCGGGCAGCGTGCACAACACCTGCAGCTATGTCCAGATCCTTGGGACAGGCATGGATACTGGCGACACGTCACCTTCCGTGTTGTTGTTCTTTGATCAGAGGCGCTTCCTGTTTAACTGTGGAGAGGGACTTCAACGCTACTGCATCGAGCACAAGATCAAGCTATCAAAGATCAACCACCTGTTCTTCACTCGGGTCTGCAGCGAGACTGTTGGCGGGTTGCCGAGTCTGCTTCTGACTCTTTTCAACATGGGTGAAGATGGATCGGTAAAGATGAGCATTTGGGGGCCTTCGGACCTCGATCATGTTGATAATGAAATGTGCACATTCGTGCCCTCGGGCATCTTGGACCTGTCACTTCAAAATTGTACGGAGAACGAGGGCGCCCCCAAAGGGGATGCTCAGAGTCATCCGTTGGATGGGAAAGAAAACTGTTCAGTGATAGTACCATTGCGTCTGCACCTGGGATGGGGGAAAAGAAGAAGGAGAAAAAGACAAAGAGCAGCAGCAGCAGTGTGAAAGAGAAAGGAAAGGGAGTATATGAGGATGAGTTGGTCAAGATCACTTTATTTTATTTTATTTTTTGCTACGATCAATTTTGAATTTTTGACACATGGTGACAATGGTAACTTTCCCCATAGACCTCACCTCAGCCATCAGCTTAGCCATGGACCGGGTCATCATTCTGTCTTTTTGGATCATATGAAAGAAAAGAAAAAACTGGGATGCTAACTACCAGTGTACACACAAAGATCTCCCTCTCAGACTCCAACACGGAAGCCTGATCTGAATTAAATTATTGAGTTTCAACAACAGTCGTAACATTTTCCCCATCCTCTTCCCTGTCTCCTGCGGCTGCATCCTCTATCCCTTGCTCTTTTGTTTTTGGATCTGCTGCAGCGAGCTTCCCTCGTGTCCTCTTCCTGCCCGCATTCGCTCCTTCTGTCCTCTCTCCCTCTTCATCCGCTCGTTCCGTTAGCCCATCGGATGCTCTTGGGCCAACTCTCCTTCGCCTGACCGCCTTCTGTCCTTCTCTTTCTTTCATTCCATTTACAGCAGCCGCTGCTTCAAGTTGAGCTTTGATCCCTTCACCACCTTCAAAAGCCATCTCTACATCTGTTCCCTTGGCAACCCCCTCCCCTTCCGATTTCCCCTCCTCTTGTTCTAGCAGCACGGCTCTGCAGCTGAGTCTCAACTGTCCACGGGCATTTATTTCAAGCAATTTGACATCTAGAAGGTCGCCCTCCTTGACAAAATCCTCCACTTTCTCTACTCTCTTAGTTGATAATTCGCTGACATGGACGAGCCCCTGACGCCCAGGTGCGATCTCTACGAAACATCCGTATGCAGTGACACCCTTGACGGGGCAGTTGTGGTAGACTGCTCCGACTTCAGGTACCATAGAAATGCCACGAATTCTGGCCTTTGCTTGCTCCAACACCTCCGTGTTTCGCGCACAGATCGTGACCGTTCCATCGTCTTCGACGTTGATGCATTCAACCCCCGACTCATCAATGATGCTCCTAATGGTCTTCCCTCCGGAACCGATGACAGTGACAACCTTGGAGGGTTCTATCTTCATCGTCGCGATGATGGGCGCGTACGGAGAGAGAGCCATCCGCGGTGGAGGAGAGCACTCCTTCATCTTCTGCAAGACCACTTGCCGTCCCTCCCGAGCGCGCGCAAGTGCAGTCCTAAGCACAGGAATGTTGATCCCTTCTACCTTGATGTCCATTTGGAAAGCCGTCACCTTTTCTTCGTCTCCTGCCACTTTGAAGTCCATATCGCCGAGCGCGTCCTCCGAGCCAAGGATATCTGTGAGAATGAGAGGCTCTCCTGACCCACCACAGTGCAGAGTGTCCAGAATCAAGCCCATTGCTATTCCAGAGACGGGCTTCTTCAAAGGGACCCCTGCATCCATAAGGGCAAGGCAACCCCCACAAACCGATGCCATGCTCGACGACCCGTTGCTTTCTGTAATCATGCTCTCTAGACGAACAGAGTAGGGGAACTCCTCCTCGCTGGGAAACACCGGCTCCAACGCGCGCTGCGCAAGTGTTCCATGGCCGACTTCTCGTCGATTAGGAGGACCTATTCTGCCAGTCTCCCCCACAGAGCAGGGTGGGAAGTGATACTGAAGGTAGAACCGGATAGCGTCAGAGCCACTCAGATTGTCTGTTTTCTGCATCATACTGTCTCCTCCCAACGTAGCAACAGCAAGCGCTTGTGTCTCGCCACGTGTGAAAAGGGCACTGCCATGTGCACGTGGCAGCAGCCCGCACGATGAAGTGATCGCCCTGACGTCAGACTCGCTCCGGCCATCGCTTCGCAGACCCTCTGTCACCACAATTCGGCGCAAGATCGAAGACACAACTGCCTTGGTGGCAATCTTCACATCCACGGGATCGTACAAACGACCCTTTCTTCTTCTGACATGCAAACTGTGCCTCACCCAACTCTTCGCAGTGGCTGCTGATGCCATCATTTCTTTCCGCAGCTGATCAGCCTTCTCGTCCAGCACCATCTGCACGCCCTCGTCCTCATCCTCATCATCACCCCACACTGCATTTGCCTCCTCAATCTTCAGCCTCTCCAATGCCCTATTCCTTCCTTCCTCGGTGAGCATCTCTAACACAGTCTCCTCCGCGTCGCCGATAACTTTCGTGCGCTCCTTCTTTGCCCGAATTCGAAGGCCCCGCTCGATCTCCTCACCCACTACTTCGGTCACTATCTCCTGCAATTCGCTGGGAGGAGCCCTGATTTTGTCAAATGCCTTGGGCTTGCCTACCTCGCAGGCCCACCTCTCAATGTCCCGGCACATGCTTGACACAGCAGCCTGCCCCATCTCTATAGCCTGCAGCATCTGTTCATCTGACAAGAAGTTGCAGTAGCCCTCGATCATCATCACTGCATCTGCTGTCCCTGCGAGGACAAGGTCAAGCTGGGACTCTGCCATTTCCTGAACCGTCGGATTGACGACGAACCGGCCATCCGCCATCATTCCGACCCTCACACCGGCGATAGGCTTCTTCAACGGGATGTCGGAGATGGCCATAGCCGCCCCGGCCGCCGTGATTGCCAGAGGTTCTGTGCTGTGAACGCCGTCATAGCTCAACACCCATGACAGGACCTGCGTCTCGTGATGAAAACCCTCCGGCATCAGCGGCCGGAGAGGCCGGTCGATGAGGCGACAGGTGAGAACCTCATGGTCACGGGGCCTTCCTTCTCTCTTGAAGAACCCACCACTCGTCCTGCCCACAGCACTGAGTCTCTCTTGATAATTCACAGTGAGGGGCACAAAGTCCCCTACGTTCTCTGCTTCCTCTGCTGCGCACACAGTTGTAAACAACACAGTTTCGCCGTCTGTCACCGTTACTGCGCCGTTAGCTTGACGACCAATCACACCAGTCTCTACCGTGATCTGTCTGCCACCGACTTCCAAGGTCAGCGTGTGGGCCATTAACCCTGACACTTCCGATGTCAGAGATGCTGATAATCGATGTTCTGCTGAAGTGCCATCACCGGCAGATGCCACCAGAGAAGCCTCTGCCGCAGGCACCGCCCTTCTTCCCCTGCTGTTTCCTCCATACAGCTGGCTATGGAGCCACACTGCCCCCGGGTCACTACCTCCACGACCTCCTCCTAAGCCCTGCGATCCGATCCCGCAATGCTTCTCCAAACGATCCCCATAGAACTCCCACCAACACCGATGACACAACAGTGAACGACGACTTGACAGCTGGCAAGTCGACTTCTTGCCCACGCGGCGCCGCCCGTCAGACGCAGGCGCAATGCTGCACAAGCAAGATCTCGAGCTCCTGCTCCTGCTCCTCTGGGGCAAACAAGTAGTGTTCTTGCGCTCCCTGCTGCTGCTGCTGCTGCTGCTGCTGCTGTGACTGTGCCCGACCCCTCCTCCACCCAATCGGTGAGCTAAACCCTGAGGCGCAGCCCGGCAGGTCTCTGAACCTAGTCCCATTTTGCGACCAGGTGGAGGGGGACGATCCAGGGGGAGCTGCTGAGTGCGAAGCCTGGTGCCACCAGCCACAGACTTTGCAAATACCAAAGTGCTCATCTCCCCTGGTCTGGCGAGAGCCACCGCTGCCACCTCTGCTCCCATTTCTCTGTCTGTTTGTTTCCCCTGCGTCCTGTGAGAAAGCACCGAATCTTTACCGAAGCTTCACCTTATCTTCAGTTCAGCTGCGGCGATCAGCAGAGAATCAGATATCGTTCCTGAGCGTGAGGTAGCCTGCGAGAGGTTAAGCGTTCCACTCAGACGAGCACTCCAACACACGTGTGTATCTTTGCAGCAGGATTGAACCAACCAACCATGGGTGGGAACCCCGAAGCAGCAGGCAGCCTCATCTCTTCTCCTCTCCAGCTGTGTGTGTTCCTGCCGGACGAGGAACATGCAACGTCGCAACCCAACAACATGCAACGTGTCAAAGAGGGGTCAGTCTCACACTCTAACTGCTGCGAGGGGATGAATTCTGTATTCCATCGTCGTTTCCTTTTTTTGCCTTTTGCTTTTTTGCCCTAGGCACAAAAGGACGGCTCAGCAAGCTAGGCAGGCATGCATGTATACGCATCGTCCAGACCAGGTGCATTCGTTCAAACACCTCATTCCTAGCAAAACCCTAGCTCCACAATGAGAGTGCGCCCGCAAACTGGGGGGGGAGGACATCATTCCACTCTTTGACCCGACTTTTGTAAAAAAAGCTAAGGGGGAAAGATAAAAATCCATGCATATAGTTTTTATGAGGCCTCGGCGAACCCCTCAGTTTTTATGAGGCCTCGGGGTCTCTCTCTCTCTCTCTTCAATATGCAGATCATTTCTCCATCGATTTTTTTTCCGATTTGTACGTGAAAATCCAGACCCTGAACCGCCACTCGACAACTCCCGGGGGGGTGGGGGGGGGGGGGAAGGATAGGACATCATTCCACTCTTTGACCCGACTTTTGTAAAAAAAGCTAAGGGGGAAAGATAAAAATCCATGCATATAGTTTTTATGAGGCCTCGACGAACCCCTAAGCAAACGTGAAATATGGCAGGTGCATCTTTCCACTCTCTAGCGGAAGGTAAATTCTTATTTTGAACCTTCGGCGAGCGGTGCGGCGCGGTCCGTGTTCTGATATGGTTCACAGTCACAGAGAGGGAAAAGAAACCCGGGGGAGGGGAGGGGATGGACAACAGGGGTAACTTACAATCCATTATCGGCACATGGACTTCAAGCACGCTCTCAAGACATCCCAACTCAAAAAGACAAAATAAAATAAAATAAAATGAAATAAAATGAAATAAAATAAAATATACGGCGGGAAGAAGACGGTACAAATTCAGGAACCGCCACAAGAGACGACGAGAAGAAGAGTGCAACACGCACGCCTGCGTACGCAGGCGAAGAGAATTCTCTCTTCCACTTTGTGCTGCGGCGCGCGGGAAGCAGCGGCGCCAGGAGAGGGAAAGAGAACAGCAGGAGGGCACAAGAAGCCGACAAAGCCAGAGGGGAAAAAAAGAACCAACACGAATTTGAATCGACACATCTAATAAGTCCATCCGGGCATAGCGTGCAGGAACACGGAGGCGGGGGGACACTCCTGTCCCAATTTTTTCGCAGCTGCAATAACACCAGAGGCAGCAAGAACAACAGCAGCACAGCAGCAGTGAGACCGGATGGTACAACCCAGTTATATCCATGGCTAATTGGCCCCCGACAGAACAAGGAAGGAAGGGGGGGGGGGGGAAGAGGAAGAGGGGGGGCATGGACCCTGTCAGGATGATTCGGTCGTCTTAGACCTGTTCATAGCTTAGTATTTTCATATTTTCAGAGTTTCGTAGAAGGATTTTTATAAGTGCAAAAAAAAAGAAAAAAGAAAAAAAAAAAGAAAGTACTCAGAGAATAATTTTTCCTTCCTTTCAGCGGGTCACTGTTGCTCCTTATATGACGGAGGTATCACTCGCAGCTAGTCAATCAGAACTCCATTCGAGCTTCATGATTGAATTTTGGAAGAGTTTGGTGTGGTGGAACGTTTGGGACGCTGGACTCGATTTATTTATTTATTTTAATTTTTTTTACTGATCAGAACAGATACTACACTTGATCTTAGCCGAAAGGCCGAGAAAGGTTGGACCCGATTTCCGGATCCGGCCTAAGCTGGTAATGGCCCAAGTACTATCCGGGTTGATTGTGAGGAATTCCCGGCCTCTTTCTTTCGAATGTTAATTAACGAGAACATAATTCTTCCAAAAAAAAAAAAAAAAAAAAGAACAGCAGCACAGCAACGGCAACAGCAGGGGGGGGGGAGGTAGAAAGGGAATACCGTTGTACCGAGCAGAAACCACAAGGGGAGGAAGAGAAGGGGGGAGCTACCTTGTGCCCCCGAACCCAAGGATAATGCCGTGCCAGACCGGAGTTTGGCTTGTATAGGGTGCGTTTTGCATTCGCGGGGAGACGGTAGCGAAGCGAAGCACGAGAGAAGCAGAGCGGGTGTCTTTTGCCTTGCTGTTTTGTAGGTCTTTCTAGTTTTTGCATGTAGTCATCAGTATGATCTCCACTCTATGAATTGGTGGCAAGTTTGTTTAAAATGCCCCTTGGGTTTTGTTATATATGGCCTGACCAAGTGCTCTGAAAATTGAAGCCTCCCCGTTAACCGCCTCTCGATGCAGCGATTAACGGGGGAAGAAGGTAGTAAGTAGAACAGAAACCGACAACTTCAAACAGGGTAGCTGACACAACGTGTGCTAACGGGGAGGGGGGGGCGCCGGGATTTGGGGAAAATAAGGTAACGGAGGGAGATTAGGGGACTGATGATGCGAAATATGGAAGAAGAAGAAGACGAGTAGCTGGTGGGGCAGGTTTAGCTTACCCGTGAAAACGGCGAATTCAAGTCGGCGTTTTTACAAATCTAGCCGGCAGGCAGATTCTCAAAAGCCGACTGTTCGAATGTCTCTCGCGCGCCGCGCCGCTTCGTCATCCGCGCATGCACCGCACCAAGCGCATCGTATTTGTTAGATGTTCCCGCGCTCTTTTCTCTTTCAGCATCAGCGAGATCCCGCTCATTTTTTTTCAGCATCCGCAAGGTCCGGCCCTTTTTTTAAGGCTCTCTTTTTCAGGCTCTTTTTTTCAGGCTCTCTTTTTCAGGCTCTTTTTTTCAGGCTCTCTTTTTCAGGCTCTTTCTTTCAGGCTCTCTTTTTCAGGCTCTTTTTTTCAGCATCATCGAGTTTGTGCTATCGGTAGTAGAGTGCACAGGGAAGTGACACAGATATACTTAGTATTAGGGCGGGCGCACTCACACTGGCTCTATCTTTAATGTATCTAAACGTATTTACCGCCGTGCTTGCATGCATCTGATCGCAATCACGTCCTTGACTCTTGCATGCATCTGATCGCAATCACGTCCTTGACTAAGTAAGAAATCCCTACCATAGTGTTGAGTATGCCCTTAGCCAGTCCTAAAAATGGACCTACAATGTCTCGTCCACGATGTATGCATCTGACCCTATTTACCGCCGTACGTGCATGCATCTGACCGCAATCTCGTCCACATGTCTGGGGTTCCAAAAAGTCATGCTTTGTCGATCCTACTCACACTTTTTCCCCCTCTGAGTCTGTTCCGCCGGCCGCCACGTGGCGACTCCCCATCCGCCGCTCCGCGCGCCGACAGCGCATCCGTCGCTCCGCGATCTTTCCCGCTCTCGTTCGAAAAGGTATGCGTCCCGACGGCGTTGGGAGCGCGAGAGATGAATGACCTACAAGAGAGGGCAAGAACCCGCCAATAGGAAGAAAGGGAGAGGAAAAGGAAGAAGGAGAGAGAGTAGAGAACGCGATCAGAAGGGGAGGGGGGAGGGAAAATGCGGCAGAGAAGAACGCTCAGACGATCGTTCCACCAATCACTCGGAAGACGAAAGAGGCCCCGCCGCGGCAGTGCAGAGAGAGGGGGAGAAGAATCCACTGGAACAAAGGGCAAGAGAGACAATAGCGCAAGCAAGGGGAGCGAGCGGGCAGCGAAGGGGCCGCGGGAGACGGGAAGAAAGCCCGTGCGTGCGCACCCTCACATGTAGAGGATGTTCAGGGAACACAGCGACAGAGCGCGAGCCACGTGTTGACAGTTGCACAGCTGTACAAGCGCCACCACAGCACGTGGCAGCAGTAGACCAATCCACGTCATCTAGCCAAGGGCAACCTCACGCCCAGCGCAGCGAGTGTACCTGTGGGATGGACAATCAGAGTAGGTGGGGCGTGGCCCCGAATTTTGGGGGGGCGATTAAACCACCAGGGCGGAACTGGGGTTCTTACCTCAGATCCAAGGGTCCTTCGGGAAACACGGATCGACAGGGGCAATCTCAAGATTGCAGAATTTAGATAAGATCCCAAAAAAAAAAAAAAAAAAAAAAAAATCAGATAAGGGAGAAATGCAGGACCTCAAAAAAAAAAAATAAAAAAAAATGCAGGACCTCGGGCAGAACTCGGCTTCTGGAAAAATGTGCAGAATTCAATCCTATCCAGGAAACCACCAGCTTGGCGTCTTACCTTCGAGACGGCCAGCTGGTAAGCAAGTGCGTGGGAGCTCAGTGGGCAGAGCTCCGGTGTTGCAACGGGGGGTTGCGGGTTCTTTTTCTTTGGCCAAATGCTCCAATCTAGTCGTGGGGAGCAGCAGCACGTGCTGGAAACCGGGTCCAGCGTCCCATAAGGACATTTACAGCCTCAAAGAGGATCTTTTTTGAGAAAAGTTGAGAAGACCTCCCCGTGCCAGCATTGATTACCCTGGATGGTAACTGAGCAGGGGATTAACTGAGTAGGGAACGCCCTTTGATGGTAATGAAAATGAAAAGAACTATGCAGAAGCCAAGCAATTAACTCTGGGCTAGGATAGATGGAATTTGGAAAAACATGCAACCCCTGAAACAGAAGCAGAACAGTCCTACCTCCGTCAGGAAGAAACTTTTTTTTTCATCGAAAGGAAGAACCTTTTTTCATCGAAAGGAATCCCCACCAGTGTTAGCGCTGCTGATAAGAGCAGACACCACTAACACCTGGGGAGAGGCTCCATCTATTGGTGGGGAGCGTCACCTGCTGGAAAACGGGTCCAGCGTCCCATATACAGAAAAAGGAGAATGTCTGAGAATGTCTGAAAACAGGGACAGTGACTGTGGGACCTGCCAGCATTGATTGCCCTGCAACCCAGGGGATTGACTGAGCAGGCCTATAAAGTATCCAGTGGTGTGGTCATTTGTAAGCTGGAGAATTGCCAATGCCTTTTGTACCTCTTCACCCTCAAAGGAAGGGCGCCAGATAACCAGTTAGGAGCAGATACTATTCAGAAGGGCTGCTCACTCCAAGCCATGTCCAATGGCACAGATTGCTCAGAAAACTCAGACTGCCGGCATTGATTACCCCAACTGAAAGAACAGATGTATATACTTGCGGGTTCCTCCCCAGGGGGCTCCGGGGAGGGAATCTACAATATATATGTGTATATATGTGTGTGTACGTTGTGTGTACCTTGTTGTGTGTGTGTATGAGGTCATAAAGGAGATCAGAATATCTCATTCAAGACAAAATCTCAGCCAAAGACGGTGTGAGGTGGGAAGGGGTCTGGGAAATCCGAGGGAGGGCGTAATGGGAAAGAAGGCTCTATATTTGTCCAGTCTTTGAAAACTAGACGGTAGTCTCTCATTTGTTCCAAATCACACGATCCCTCTCCTTTGTCACCACTCCATTCTACTTTTGCAATCCATCCTTCTCTATCCCCCCCTACCCAGTCTGTGCAAAACGCCGTAATCTGTCTCCTAACATCCCTAATTTGTTTGAAAAGGTCTAATTGTGTTTTTGTGTCCATCCATCTCCGTGTGAGTTCAAGGTGAACCAGCTGCTGAACCCGATCCGTAATCTCTGACCCCTCCACACGTATCTTCTCCATGGCCAGGGTGCATCTTTGCCACCAAAGTGCCCATATCACCGCCCTTCTTCCCAATTTGTACATGTTCCCTACGAAGGTCGTGGCTGTCCCTGCCATCGGCCAATGTCCAGCCAAAATGGCCTGCCATGACCAAGGCCAGGGAATGTCAGCTTGCAATTTCCGTCTTATGCGGTCCCACCATCTCCATGTAAATTGGGCAATTCGGCATTGCATAAAAATATGCTCAATGGTCTCCGCCTTTTTATGGAAGGGAAAGAGACTATGACACCGATGGCATCATGGGAGCAGTAGTCCTCTCTCTTCGAGTTTCGTGCGGTCAGTCAACCAGTCGTTTGTTGGCAGACATTGGTGGGCTATTTGCCACTGTAAGGAGGTGATCTTCATCGGCTTGGCTTTGGGTTCCTTGAACCATTGAATTGGTGACAGGAGGGTGCGGTCCACATTTAGGTGTCTGGCCCATCCGTCGTTGATTGTATCCCTCAGATACGGTTTGGGTCTGAGCAATTTGTAGGCTGATTTGACCGTTAGCTGGTGCAAGCTAATGTGGTCAACCTTAGGGTCACCCCTCTTTTGGGGAGGCTGCCAAGCCCATTCCCCAGGGTCCAGTGCCAGGTCTTGGATTGGTTTGTCTGGCTGGAACACCACCCTTTGTCCCTTCTCTTCCAAGACTCTCACTCGGTATACTGTTTCTTTTTTTTTTCCATTCAAATGGTGCACTATTCCCTTGGAGGGTGCCCGATTTTGTGGTGGTGTATTGTTCAACCAGGATTGTTTGGGGTGAGATCATATGTATCAGGCCAATCCTCAACGGGGTCTCCGTGCTTGCTACCCAGTCCCCTACTCTCAATGTGGGGCCACGTTTAACGATCCGATACCATTCTAGTGGGATGACTTCAATAAGGTTTTACAGAATCTCTTCGACATGATGACAGTACCTTAAGGTCGCTCATAATTGGTCCCCTGTTTTCGAGTCCTGTCTCTCATTATCCTAAAGGTCCCCTATCCTAAGAACATCATGTTCAACCCAGTTTTTCCAGGGCAGGGATGAGCTTGTCATGATGCAACCAGTTGTATCTGTCACCCATCTATTCTCAAAGAGGGTTTGACGGTGAACCTCCTCTCAGTCGGGATGGGTCTTGTCTGGGGAACGGAAGTTTGCACAAAGTTTGCAGCAGGAATGACAAAAAATTATCCAACGTCTGACCTCCTCCTTTTGGCCCAACCCTACTATGCAGGAGCTTACGTGGAATCGACCAGAATCGGTCCTCCAACCATGTCAGCGGATGGATCATATGGGGGGTTGCTGGGGCCAGCCAGGCCAAATATTCCGAAGCTAAAACATGCTACGGACTCCGGGGGGCAAAAATAAGTTTTTTAATCCATTTTATTCGTAATGCCTGCACTTGTGTGGCTGAATCAATTATTCTCAATCCTCCCCCCGCTTTAGGCTGGATAATTGAATCCCAAACCACCCGGCTAATTACATTGGTCCGATCTCCATCCCCCCTCCATAAGAAAGTCATTACCTTTTTCCTTGGCCTCCTGAGGGCCGCTTTGTTCGAAGGCCAGAGCAAGGATTTATACCATTTGTTGCAAAGATCATATTGTTAGTTACTAAGGCGTGCCCGAAGAGGGATGTGTGCTTATTTCTCCAATTGTTTAGTTTGTTATGAGTCGCGGAGCTAATCCACTCGTCATTGCTTCGCGGTCGTCCCTCTGCGGTCATGGATATCCTAAGATTTTGATTGGGGGTTCTAATGGCATCCATGCAATGCGTGGTGACTCCGGAGGGCGTCCCCCTTGGTACTGAATCCACCATCCTTGTGTTTTGGACCCCCAATTAACTGTCATGCCAGAAACCTTGGCAAACCTTTTCATCATCTGTTGGATTTCCTCCATATTGTGATGTGTGGATTCTGCCATTATTATGAGGTCATCCGTGAACAGAGAACACACCGGGATTGTGTCCTCCGAAATGCGTGTGACTCGAATTTTAGTGATATTTTTTTTTGCCCGAAGGTTTGCGGCTAAAGCCTCCATAATAATCAGAAGAGGAAGGGGACAATTGGATCCCCCTATCGGACCGATCGTGCTAAATGAAAGGGCGGCGCAAGGTTTCCATTGACTTGGATGCATGTGGTAGCGCTCTGGTGTAGGGTTTGTATCCAGCTTCTGAAATCGAAAGGAAGAACCTCAAACCTGATCCAGGTGGCGTTAGTGACCGAGATACTCGACGCCAATCACGTCCACCCCAACTTTCTCCATTCAAATCTCATCCGTCTTCCCAAACTACGTCCTCGTGAAGAATTCCAGAGGGGTTCATCTCAGCAGGGGCTGAGCACCATCATCACCCTAAAATTCCTTGGCTTCACAAGAATTTCAGTCTCTGTCCTTAAACCACCTGTACCTCACCCAACTTCAAAAAGTCGACGTGGTCGTTAATGCGCGCCTCATCGGGCGGAGTACCCACCTCCGTGCGACCGGTAGTCCGGGTACTAGTCCCAAAAAAACGAGCGCGAAAAAAAAAAAAAAAAAAAAAAAAAA